TGCAATGGCTAGTTTGTCAGTGGAGGGGTGACCTTCTGATGATCATCTTGTGTGTCCCTAGAAAGGTTGGTCTTCTGACACACAGTCTGCTTCTGGAGTGTATTTGCACTACACAGGCATAACCGTTGAGAGCCCACAGTGACCTTCACTCTGAAATACAGTGGCAACGTTCAGTACCAGTTTGAATTTTATACATGTTCAGCTAAGTACTAATGTTCGACATGAATTAAGGTCATGTGGATATAAAAGTGACCTTCACTCTGAAATACAGTGGCAATAAATGACTTTCATCAAGGCAGACGTTCAGTACCAGTTTGAACTTTATACATGTTCAGCTAAGTACTAATGTGCGACATGAATTAAGGTCATGTGGATATGACAGGTGACAGATTTGACCTAAATTTTGTAAATTACACAGTAATTTGAAGAGATGGAGTTTTGTGAAATGCGTTGCATTATCAGTTCACAGATTTATTTTGTAAATTCAGTAGCATGTGTATTAGAAGGCCAGCTGGATCTTTTATTCCCCTTCCCTGGCCCCCAGGGGAAAAAAAAACAAAGCATGGTATATCTGTTGGTTTGCTTCTGGCTAAATCTTCTTTTCTTATTTGCAAGTCATTTTCTAAAAAGAAAAAAATTGACATCTTAGAGCAATTCACGTTGACAAGAGAGAAACAGTGTTGAAATCTGTATTGTCATTTCCACCCAGCTCAGTGAGGACAAAAAAAGATGGGAGCAAATGGCTGAAATCCAGTCGTAAATTGGAAACTGAGCAAGCCCTTTGAATGATTGGAACTTTCAGAGATGTTGACTACTAAATCTCCACTGATTCAATGAGCCTACTTTAGTTGCAACTTACTACTAGATTTCAGCCAATGTGACTATGTAGGACTGTTGAATGTAAAGTAACTTAGGGTAAGGTATATTTTCTTCTGTCAGAATAACAAACAAGTTGCTTGCATAAGGGAAAATGAAGACAGACTTTGAGTTCCTGATTGTGCAAGACTTAGTGAGCTGATAAAAATGAAGTAAAAGATCAAACCTAGATCTTTTCACAAAATCAACGTTGGCCAGTTGACTCAACTCCCAATACAAAATTTAAATTGCTCTGTGTTCAGTCATTTGCTTAGTTTATTAATTGGCTGGACTTATTCATTCTTAAAAATACCAATATACTTATCTAACCAAATCATTCTTAAACACACCAATATGATTAACTGGGAAAAAATGTTTATCTTGCAGCCAGCTTTAAACCCAGGTGCACTGGCAAATTATAAAACAACCAATGGATTAATATGTTTCTGATGTTTTCTTCTTTGTCCAACTCTCCTGTAATTCCACTGTTGTTATTGAGGAATCTGTCTTAGAATTCTAATACACGCTCGTGAATCATGTTTTCTGCAAATAATGCAGTTCATTTTGTACTAGGCATGTGCCCTGGCAAATGTACAAAACAAATGGACTAAATGAAGGAATGTGTGTAATTCCATGCCAACTGCATCGCAGAGCAAGGAGCCCCTATTTGCACTCAAGGTGGAGGAACTCCACAATAGATCCTTTGTACCCACTTAGCATTCATAGGGTTAAAAAGAAGGAAAGTGATTTGAGCTGAATAGAGAGGAACTGGAAGCAATACAGTGGACTGAATTGATGGAACCAAAGCAGAAGGTGAGTGACAAGTCAAACCACCTACCCAATCTCCCTGGGTGTTGAGGAACTCAGCCTGTTGGGCTTTCCTTCCCCCATTTTAAAGATTCCCTCTGTCCCCAAAATAGGTGGTGCTACACCCCTTCCCCCAGTTATACCTACTTGTCTTTCACCATTTGCATATAGTTTTTGTTTTTTAAAGTGTAGCTCCAACAACACAGAAGTAATGTCATGGACAGAGGAGGTTGGAATGTCTCCTAAAGGGTACAGGATAGGTCAGGGTCAGCCATGATCTCTATGCCCTCTATTGGCATACAGAGTGGGGTCAGGGGCTTCTGTACACTCCTATTTTATTTTAATGCCTTCAGTTAACCAATATAATTTCTGGCACTACTGATCTATGGTGTCCTATTTATTAGATTTTCACACATGCACACACTAATTCTGTATGTATGTATGTATGTATGTATGTATGTATGTATGTATGTATGTATGTATGTATGTATGTATGTATGTACAGTACTCGCAAAAGTACATGTAGTATATGAATAGTGAATTGACAAAAGTGTTTTGGAAACACCAGGAGATACCCAACTTTATCTTCGTAATGTTGAAATGAAAGGAAGATCATTGTAATCCAATTTGTAGTTAATTGCCATCTATAAAAGGTGTGACATTTCATCAAACCAATTATCTATGAAAGTTGTAATGATAATACAAATGAAGGTTCCAAGCAATAAATGTTCATAAGTAGGACACAGCATTATTCAGATGAATTATTCTTGTAATGACTTTTATCAGCCCCTTTTTCTTCATGCTGTGCTGCCAGATTCCTTTCCTGACATCAGTGTTGCATTTCTTTCAGAAGGGAGAGAGCTGTTGGGGATTAGACAGTCTTTCTGCATTTAGTACAATACTATGTGCATTTAGGAGAAAATGTGATACCATCTTAAGTGGATAATTGTGCCTTTAGCTACACTTGGATTGCCAAAGTAATTGTGAAGTTATTAGCTGGAATCTTATTTCTTTCTTCTGCTCAGTTGTTTGTTGCACAAGTGTTTGAATACTTTCTATGCACAGAAAAATAGTCCATCATCTCCTTCCATAAGCCCTGTTTCCACAGGATGATTTCTGGCTTCCCCCACACTCATGGGGCATTCCATTATGTTAACTACAATACTGCCCTTGCTATTACATATGGGTTCTTCCTCCAAATGGTATATTGGTTTTCAAATGAAACTTAAGCAGCTGTCCAGATGGTCATTTCCAGAGGTTCCCCCCCCCCATGTATAGAGAGAAAGCAGGATTGCACCAGCCAGTCCTGTCTATGGTGTTATGCATCCCCACCTGCTCCATTAGCAACATATACAGCCAATTTCAATACTGGAGTTCATGCATACATGGTTGTAAACGTATTGGTTTCCGCTTTAGTTAGAGACCTGAATCTCGTAGGGCTCCCAGTCGAGGATAGCTACACATTTCTAGGGTTAGCATTGCAGGGATTGCATCAAATGTGCCAATGTCAGGCTAATGTATAGTGATTTGGGACAACAGATGGGGCTCATTCTACTTCAGTGCATAAAAAGAATAAATGAATTCAACTATAATGTTTTAAAAGACACAATGTTTTTCTGGATGTAGACATACTAGAATAAAGGCAAAACAGTTAAAGTTGAGTCTACCCACACAGGACAGTTTTCCTTGCATAATATGCTTTGAGGTCATGTTGGAAGCTTCATAAATTATGACTTTGCATTGCAGTGGCACCAACAGCATAGAGTTCCTGCTCAGGGACATGTATGTTGTATTTGGACTGATCAAGTGGTTCTGTATTTGTTTGCTAATTTAAAAGTTTCTTGGCATTGTGATGAGCTGCAGCAAATTTTTAACCTGGTTGTCTTGGTTATGCGGTTGTTTTAAATAGTTTATGTTGGGCTTTAATTATCCTTCGCCACCTTTGGGGAAAAAGCTGTTATTTTGGCAAATAAGCAATTCCACATCTACCTTTTCCATAGCTGATCTTAACATATGTTTCTATATACTGCTATTGATGGGATCCAAAGATCATGCTCAGGCACTGAAACAAAGAAATGATTTGCATCCACCAGCGAGAATAAAAATACCTTGGAGTGTACATTTAGCAGGCCTTCCAATGAGAGGTAGTTTTTCCTCTCCCACAAAGATGGTCTAATAGTGCACCTGGCATTGTTCGCCATTGATCTGTGCTTCTTGCAGGCATTGTTCTGAATATCAAACATTACCCACAGGACCTGGCAAGTTACAGCATGAAACAGGAGGCAAAATCAGGGTAAAAAAAATCCAGGGGGAACTATCTTTCTCTCTCTGCCAAAGAAATCCAGTCCAGACATTACATCTTTTCTTCCAGCAGGGGCCCTTCACAACCCAGAATTGGTCCTACAAAACTTTGTTTAAAATCTCTCTGGTGTGCTGTGGTGTAGAAAGGAGAGATGAAAGAAAGAAACCAGTAACAGATAGGCACGGGGAATACAGAAAGGCTGCAGAGGAAAAGACGTGAAAGGAAAAGGAAGCAGAAGGAAAAAGTGCTCTCTGCCTTCCTTCATCCATTTCCAAAGCTATTCATTCATTCATTCATTCATTCATTCATTCATTCATTCATTCATTCATTCATTCATTCATTCATTCATTCATTCATTCATTTATTAGGTTTTTACCCCGCCGCCCTAGACGATGTCTACTCGGGTTGGCTTACATGCATAACACAACAATATGACATGTATAAAGATCGTCAAAGACACAGTTATAGCAATTAATTCTAAACAACATATTACCAAGATGACATGACTCAAGGGGAAAAAAAAGCTATCCTTTGTGTTATTAAAAAAAAAAAACTGTTTGTGTTGGTAATAGAGTGAAAAGAGTTAACTGACAGGGGATGGTAAGGACTGTTTTCAGAGGAGGAGATGTAAAGGCTGGAACTGCAAAGCTGCTGAGGCCTAAGACAAAAAAAGCAAAACAAACAGCATGGAGAAAGCAGGGTTGCCCACAGAGAAGCAGGGAAATGAATTCAATGCAGCACAGCATAATGGAGAGCATGAAAATAGCATTGCCAGCTCTTATGCCTCCCTCCGTCAGTCACAAATTGAGTATTCTCAGAAAATGTAGGGGAAGAAAAGAGAAGAAACTCTTGCCAACACCTTTCAGAGCTAGTGAACAGTCTCTCCTAAAAGCTACTCCCAGTTTTTTTTTCCTGGTTGCCTCATTTGGCTGCTGCAAGACCACTTCCTTCATAAAGCATTCTTGCTTGCCCAATTCCCAGCCTCAGTTAGGCTGGTTATTATTCAACACTAACTTTTTTCTTCTTCTTCTTCTAGATATAAAGATAATGGACCAGCTGGAATCTTCAGGGGACACCATTTTAGCCACACTGAGCACTATGCCATACTTCATTGGCTCTCCAGCTATCCCCACATCTCTGCCTAAAGACGACATTTTGAGGCTGACAGACCAAATTGTTTTGTTGCCAGCAGTGACAACTGGTGGCCCCTCAATTGTCATTGACCAGTCTTTTGAGGTAACAAGTTCTTCATGGGATGCAGCAGCAGAGGGTGGCACCCCTCCTGGATTTGACTTGGGGGTGCAGGATATTGCAACCGAATTAGGTGCTGTTGACATGCTGAGCCCACCAACCATGGATGAGGAGGGAAGTGGTTACCGTGCACAGCCAGAAATACCAGACATGACTCCAGCTCCTCCACTGAAGTATGTAACTACAAGCTCCATGACAACGGCATCCAAAGGCAAAGAGTTAGTGGTGTTCTTCAGCCTAAGGGTCACCAACATGCTCTTTTCAGATGACCTCTTCAACCGGAGCTCCTCAGAGTACAAAGCCCTTGAACAGCAGTTCATGCAGCTGGTAGGTGACAGGATGGGTTTCTGGGTATCAGTCCTTGCAGGAGGTGGCATCTTGTTACTACCCTTTCTCAGGCTTAAACATGTAAATTTGAAACAGCGCCAAACTGGGGGACCTGTTGTCCTCCATATCTTGTCGAATTGCAGCTGGCTGGGGCTGATGGCTGTCAGAGCCCAATAACATATATTTACATCTATACATTATTTTGTTTATATGCCATCTTTCTCCCCATAAGGGATCCAACATGTGGAGTGTCACATGTTCCTCATCCCTCCTACAACAGCTTGTTAAGGAAAAGCTATTTTTGGTGGAAGGTTGGCACTTACTCTTCTTGTTAATCAATCTTTTGTATTTGGGACCCCCTTCTGCAATGAGACTTGCCTTCTTCAAGGAAAATTATATACAGAACTATAATAATCTTGAATAATTTACCTGTGAAAGCAATGTGTAGGCATCCAGTCTCGAGAGACTATGGTAATGTGTTCTGAATAGAGGTTTTGGAACAGCATCTAGTGTGGCTGAGAAGGCCATTTCAAGAGTGACAATCCCTTCCACACTGAAGACAAATACAATCCTCTGTCCAGCTCCCTGATTTTGCTGGTTTCGGGACTGCTTCTTTGCCTCGGCCTGCTGAACAAATGTTTCTTCAAATTGGGAGAGGCCATGATGCCCCGCCTGCCTCCAGGCTTGAACGCTCAGATGTCAAGTTTTCCCATCTGTTGAGGTCCATTCCTAAGGCCTTCCGATCCCGCTTACAGATATCCTTGTATCACAGCTGTGGTCTTCCTCTGGGGCACTTTCCCTGAAAACAATGACAGGCAGATATAATGTAAATCATAATATGATTTACTCATGATGAGAAAATGCACAGAAATCTCACTGTGTGAGATTTTTTGAAAATCTCTCACATGATTTCTGACCATTTTCAGGCTGTTTGTGCACTGGAAATGAAAGTATGTGCAGAATTCTAGCCATTCTAGTATGAAAATGTTGCTGTTTTCATGTCTAAAACTCTGTCAGGCACAACAATCTGGTTTGATATCATATGCAGAATGGAACATCATCACACACATACAGTTTGATTTGAGGAAAAGGGAGCAGGGAAGCTTTCTGTCACTAAATCAATACATATTTGCCATCTTTCCTGCGATTGCAATGCCCTTCAAATAACAGTCAGCATCTGCAAAACAGAGACTTCCTTCAGTACTGCTGAATTCTGCCATAGTCCCCCCTCTACCACCTCCAATTGTAAGTCAGTGGTATATATAATAGGTTGTTGTTTGACTGGTTTGTGTGCAGGAAAAAAGGATACAAAATACTGTTCTATCTTACAAAGGCTGTTAAATGGGTATTTGAAAAAACAACTGAAATTGTTTTTTGTTTTTGTGCGGAAAACCCTGCCCTGTTCTGCCAAATATTGAAAAACATCCCCTAAAGCAGTGGTCCCCAACCTTGGGCCTCCAGATGTTCTTGGACTTCAACTCCCAGAAATCCTGGCCAGCAGAGGTGTTGGTGAAGGCTTCTGGGAGTTGTAGTCCAAGAACATCTGGAGACCCAAGGTTGAGGACCACTGCCCTAAAGGGTAATTCAGTGATTGCTCAGTGGTACGTGTAATAAGACACATTGTTTTCCCACTGTTTGCTATCATTTGTAGGCCAGGTTCTGAAACCCCTCCTGAAGTTGTTTCTATCACAAGAGGTCCCTCCTTGTTTCTACCAAATCTGACCACCACCAGCAGCCCACTAACAATCCAGATGAGAGCTGTGTAAGATTACTCACACTTACTACCTTCTGACTTCATTAACCCCAGCTCAGAAGGCTTAGAGTTCCATAGGAGTATCCTCTGCAAAGATAGGAAGGAATGGCCAATTGCTCTTCAGGGTAGGGAAGTCATGGGTTTATCTTCTGACCTTGGCTTTTGTTTCAAAGACGACAGCACCCTTTCACCTTTGCTACTGGGGAGGATTTCAAAGTGTCCTCTGGCTGAGCCCCAGAAGGGAGAAGGCTGCTACAGCCACCACCATAAAGGACCAGGCTGAGAAACACCCTCTCTCACCTTGCAAGTCAGTTTTCCTCATAAAGTTCACTACATTTTCTGCTGTGTTAGGGCCAGAGTACAAATGGTAAGGCTGTACAACAGTGTCTGAAATCCTGGAATAAGTTGCAACTAGAGTAGACCCATTGAATCCATGAGGATTTGATGAGTTAAAACTCCATGGAAGTTCCATTGATTCAGTGGACTTACTCTGATTGTGGCTTATTACTAGATTTCAGCCAAGATGCCCTTAAAATTATACTGCTCAGAAAACTCTCAGAAATCTTGTTCAGACACATGTAGTTGATCCCCTTGAACCTGTACAGCTGCTTTACCTACAGGCGCAGATCACATTTAAGCATGCTTAAGTCCCTTTGATTTCTTTTAAACTGGATTTCAGCCTGTGAATGCAATTAGAAGGGAAAGTGCAGTCTATCTATCTTGTTCGCATTTTTAAAAGATCTGTTCAGAGAAATTGCTGCTAAGGACTGAACTGAGAATTTTGAGCTGGTAGCAGACGTCCAGTAGTGGATCAAAGTAGATGATTTACAGTCACGTGAAAAAGAAAGTACACTTTTTGAATTCTAAGGTTTTACATATCAGGACACAATAAGAATCATCTGGTCTTTAGCAGGTCTGAAAATTAGGTAAATATAATCTCAGATGAGCAACAACATATAACATATTACAGTTCATCATGATTTCTTATATAAAAATAAAGCCAAAATGGAGCAATCATGTGTGAAAAACTACGTACAGTACACTTACAAAAATAAAGCCAAAATGGAGAAATCATCTGTGAAAAACTAAGTACACTTAATGATTCAATAGTTTATAGAACCACTATTATCAGCAATAACTTGAAGTAATTGTTTTCTTTATGACATTACCAGTCTCTCACATCATTGTGGAGGTATTTTGGCCCACGCATCTTTACAACATTGCTTCACTTCATTAAGGTTTGTGGGCATTTTGTTTATGCACAGCTCTCTTAAGATTCCACCACAGCATTTCAATTGGGTTGAGGTCTGAACCCGATCGCAACAGCTGACAGCATTTCAATTGGGTTGAGGTCTGACCCCGATTGCAACAGCTTGATTCTTTTCCTTTTGAGCCATTCTGTTGTAGATTTGCTGGTATGCTTGGGATCACTGTCCTGTTGCATGATCCAATTTTGGCCAAGCTTTAGCTGTCAGAGAGATGGCCTCACATTTGACTCTGAAATGCTTTGATATACAGAGGACTCAATGACTGCAAAGTGCCCAGGTCCTGTGGCAGTAAAACAAGTCCAAATCATCACCCCTCCACCACAGTACTTGAGAGTCAGTATCTGGTGTTTGTGCTGATATGCTGTGTGTTGTTTTTGCCAAATGTGGTGCTGTGCATTATGGCCAGACAGCTCTACTTTGGTCTCATTTCTCCAAAGGACATTGTTCCAGAAGTCTTATGGCTTGTCCAGATGAAACTTTGCACAGCTAAGCCATGCTGCCTTATTTTTAGAGAGCTGAGGCTTTCTCCTCACAATCCTTCCAAACAAATGATGCTTGTTCAGTCTTTTTTCTAATTGTACTGTCATGAACTTTAACATTTAACATGCTAACTGCAGCCTGTAGAGTTTGAGATGGAACTTTTTGCCCCCAATTTCTCTGAGCATTGCACAATCTGACCTTGGGTATCCACTCCTGGGAAGCCTGGCAACTGTCTTCAGTGTTTTCCACTTGTAAATAATCTTCCTCCCTGTAGGATGGTGAACTTTAAATTGTTTGGAAATGGCCTTATAACCCTTCCCAGATTAATAGGCAGGAACAATTGTTTCTCTACTCTAGCTGCTGATGTGTTTCCTCCTTGGCATTGTGTTAACACACACCTGAATGCTCCAGACCAGCAAACTGCTAAAACTTCAGGTTTTATAGAGATGGGCACACTTGCTAGTGATCAATTACTCAAGGGCATTTGGTTAGCAGCACCTGGCTGCTACTTAGCCTTCTAATTCCTGCTACTTAGCCTCCTAATTCCTATGGAAGTGCTAATATGTACTTAGTTTTTCACACATGATTTCTTAAAGTTGGCTTTATTTTTGTAAAATAAATCATGAGATGGTGTAATATGTCATGTGTTGTTGTTCATCTGAAGTTGTATTTATCTAATTTTCAGACCTGCTAAGGACCAGTTGTATTTATTGTGTCTTGATATGTAAAACCATAGAATTCAAAGAAGGTGTACTTTCTTGTTCACATGACTGTACTGTGCGTTCTCCAAATTATGAGTGAATATAAACAGAATTAACGATATGTTGACATTGATGGGTGACATAAAATAAACTGTCTTCTTATTTTATTTTATTTTATTTTATGTTGTAGCTGCTACCCTATCTGCAGTCCAATCTTACAGGATTTAAACAACTGGAAATACTCAGCTTCCGCAATGGAAGTGTGATTGTCAACAGCAAAATGAAGTTTGCCAAGTCGGTACCATACAACATCACAGAGGCTGTCCACTGTGTGCTGGAGGACTTTTGTGATGCAGCAGCTCAGCGTCTTAACCTTGAAATTGACAGCTATTCTCTTGACATTGAACCAGGTGATGTAAAAGAGGGAATGGAGGGAATTGCAGGTGGCGCTCCTTGGTAAGGGATGTCATGATGGAAGCTGTTCTTTGTAGACAAGTGCCCCCAAAAGTATGACCAGTCCTAGGTTATCTCTCACTCTCCATTTGGGATTTAAAATGGTCAATAGGATTCTGTGAAAAGGAACTTTTCTACTCCAACTTAGGCTTAGAAATTCATACTTGAGGGTAATGGACTTCTCAGAAGATTTGTATGTTTTTTCATGTCATGAACATGCTGGTTGCCAACGCACTAAACACTTCAGGATGGATAAATTATTACACTTAATTCCAAATAAAAGTATTTTAGGGCTTAAATGGCACCAGTTTGGTCTCCGCAGTAAAACTGAATTGGTAATAAAATGTTTCTAAAACAACAGAAAGGAATAGAATATATGAAGGCCAGTTGATTACACCTCCCTCCAGCTACTGCCTCCTCCTCCTGAGTCCCAGAGTCATATTATTAGCCAAGATCTGTAGAGTCCAAAGTGAATTCTGTAACACACACACACACACACACACACACACACACACACACACACACACACACACACACACCACACTAGGCTGTATGAGTGTTTGAGTGTGTGCAGATGAATACCCCAGAATTTGCCTAAATAAACAAATAAACAAATAAACAAATAAACAAATAAATACATTCTTGCATGCAGGAAAGTTTTTCTTTTTTTTTTCTTCAGAAAAGGGCCAATCTTTCCTCAGTACAAAATAAAGAGAAAACATTTGTGAGTAAGGGAGAGAAGATGATCGGGTGTTATGCTGAGAGAATCCAGAACAAATGTGTGCAAATTCTGAGAAGTGAGGAATTCTTTTGTTCAGGCCTTCCTTACTCTCCCTTATGTACACAGTCCAACTTTCCTAAAGATGCTTCTCATTTGCCAGAGATACATGTGGCTCACATCAACTGGGAAGCTATTTACATTTCCAGAAGCAAATATCAAAATTCAGCTCTTTCCAGGACACAATGTGGACATTCTAACTCTCACTGTTTGCAGCCAGTTTTGTAGGACATGCTGCTGTCATCACTTATGACCGTGCTGTTGTAAGATCTATGCATGTTAACTAGCACAATTGCAGCACCAAGGAGGAGCGTTCACCTGCCCATTCCCCAAAAGTGGTGAATCCATTCCCCAGGCATTGTGTCTCTGTCTTCTCCTTCCTTCTTTTTGAGAGTTACATAATAGGAACATGGCATAATGAGATACTAGCACCCTGCCGTGAACTAAGTGCATGTTAAGTAGAGATTACTAGGTTTTTAAATGATGGGAAACTGGCTGTGGCTCGGAAGTAAGAGACCAAGGAAGGACAAAGAGACTAGCACTCAAGCCAGGATAACGGAGAGATCCTTAACAAAAGTCTTGGCAGAATCCAATAGTAAGTGAGAACAATCTAAAAGTGGCATCCAGTTACATATGTAGATTTGAATCTTCATATATTCTGTTCTCACTGATGAGAATGAAAATAAAAAGTCTTCTCCCCACAGGACAAAAATACAAAAGTTTTTAGTTCATTTTCAGTATTTCAGCAGTTTTTTGTGTGTGTGAATATTTTGTGGAAGGGTTTTTGCACAGAAACCCTCTATATTTGCAGAGAAAAACGCATAACATAAAGTTTTTAAACACCAAGTAGAATGTTTTCATGTAAAGAACAGTTTTGTGCATGCTCTTGCTTTTTAAAGAAGTGCTAGTTGTGTTTGTGGGTTGTTGTGGGGTTTTTTTGCTGTTCAATACGAGTGAAAAAATCTTGCACCAGTTGTCCATTTTTTTCCGATGCACTGAGTCATTTCTTTTTGTTAATGGTGAAAAAAAAATCTGTGAGTGTTTGTCTCATTCTTAAATTTGAGCTTCTTTGCTGAAAGTGTGTGTTTGTCAGAAATGTAGGAATTCTGACCCTGGGGTTATTCCTGCACGGTAAGCAAAGGCAAGTGTGCCCACACATTGATCATGAACAGAAATTCTCAGCCTTCCACGAGCAAAGGCCATGTTTAGGTTTAGCTGAAGAAAACTGCCAGAGTGTGTTGACATGACAGTGTCATGGCTCCATGGCCATTACCACAGAGCTCAACTAGAAACATTGACTTGGCAACAGTCCTGAAAGCCCTTTCCACTTTTAACCTCCTATAGCTTAGAATCCTGGCACAACTGAGAATGAAGCATGATTATCAGGTGTTTCAAAAGCCGTATTTTCCCCTACCTGGCTTATACATTGATTCAAATGTGAGCTTCTATGCTGAAGAAAGTACTGCCGGTAAAGTGGAACAAATTTCCAAAAGTCTTGCATTTACAGTGGACCCTTGACTTACGGAATTAATCCGTATTGGAACGGTGGCTGCAGGTCAAAAAGTCTGTAGGTCAAGTCTCCATTGACCTACAGTGCATTGAAAACCGATTAATCCCATAACAGGCCGTTTTTGTTCCATTTTGGTTTTTTTCTGGTCTGTAAGTCAATTCTCAGGCTGCAAGTCAAACCTAAATTTTGCGGCCAGAGAAGTCTGTAACTCAAACAGTCTGTAAGTCAAGCCATCTGTAAGTCAAGGGTCCACTGTATACCTGACCAAAATGGAAGGGTGACCAATCCCAGAATCTGGTGCTAAGACACAAATCTTCCAAGAGACCTGCTTTATTTCCATGTATCGGATACATGTATGGATGCAGCATATCCACACACATTCACACAAAGCCTTTGGCACTTACCAAGCAAGCTTTTCTATTGCTTGCCATATACTGTGACTGGGCATATTTTTTGTTCTTGTCTGTATTCTGCCTTTAACTTTAGTGCTTCATTCTTCTCCCCACACACATTCCCGCCCTGTGTGGGACATTAATGAAATGCAGAATGCATGCTTTTCTTGTTTCCAAGTCCTGCCTTGTATTCCAAAGCATTATTGTTTAAACAATGAAGTTAGCTCAACACTCCACTGGCATGCCAATTGAAAAACTATGATAGCCTCTTTCCTGTGTTTTAGATTTTGTCATAGCCTCATTCTTTGAATACATGTCCACACACACCCTAGGACCGGGTGGAGTTCTGTTGTGACATAGGAAATTGGTTCTCAGTGGTTATGGAAAGCTCTTGCACATTGCTCCAGAGATTTCCCCACTGAAATCGATTCTTAGGGGCATCAGGAACTGGAGGGGAAGGTGAACATCTATAAAAATGGCCTCTTCCCTATTCCACCAGTGGAACACACCAATAGAGCAGAAGTCTTCTATGGGCAGTCCTTCTGCCATGGGAGTTCTGTCACTTGCAGATTTTAGGTCACTTCATTAGGTTACAACTCCCAGCCTCCTCCAACATATATGTCCAGTGTGGCCATTAAAAAATAATAACATTTCCAAATTCTACTCCCAAGAAAGCGGAACAAGTTGAAAATGGTGAATTTTGGCTTATTTTTATGGGTACATACTGCTTTCATGACTTTTGCAATAGTTTATTTCATTTCATTTTTAAATGTTTGATGGAATGTAACTATTGCGGAGGCTGCCCTGAGAGGAAATTTGCCTTAAAAGGTTGCTTTAAAAAAAATAATTGCTTAAGACAAGGGATTGTCAGGCTTATAAGAATAATGGACAATGTCCTGCTGCTGTGCTTTGGCAGTGATGACCTTCTTCCCTTGACTCCTTTGCCAAATACATGTGGTACCGCACAATTAACCCATTTAAAAAGATTTTTTTTCTCTCTGTCCTCTTACAGCTGATCAAGCAGATCCTTGCAAGTTCATGGCATGTGACGAGTATTCACAGTGCATAACGAACGACTGGACAAAAGAGGCGGATTGTCTTTGTAAACCTGGTTATGTAAGAAAAGATGGGCAGCCGTGCCAGAGTCTGTGCGAGATTGAGCCACACCTCTGTGTAAATGGTGACAAGTGTGAACTAGTTCCTGGAAGAGGGGCTGTCTGTAGGTAGGCAACTGTACAAAAGATGATTATGAATACTGTCGCAACTGTCAAATTTGATTGATTTTATAAAATACATACACTTGAATGGCATGATCAAATTCAGTCACTAGGGAGGAATCAGAGGTCAATAGGAGAGCACATCTGCTTTCAGAAAGTTTCCTCTTTCTGAAAACTGGTGTTACTATGCTTTCCAGAGACCCTACAGAGCCACTGGTCCTCAAAGTAAGAACAACAACCTAGGTGGACTTCTATTTGGACATGGTGGACTTCTGTAAGGTCTGTGTTAAGGATTTATTTTTACATCACACCATTAACTCTTGTCTTCCATGCAAAATATTGGCCATGAGCAAAATCCACTCCTTCCACCCAGGAGACAACAGAAGAGCTTTATTTGATCAGGTTTCTAGCATTGTATATGCCAGTAAGTTGTATGATGGATCAGATTGTGCTTAAATTTAGCATCTGTCCAGAAGAGATTACTATCACGAATGTAATTCAGGGGGGTGAAATCTTTAACTGTATAGATACTTGGCCCTACAACTACTCCAGTATCTTAATGTTGGCTGTGCTGGGAAGGACAGGGTAGGAGATGAAGATCAAAACATCTGAAGGGCGAAAGGGTCCTTAACCCTTATAGAATCCAACATCATACTTCAGGATGCTTCAGCCTCCTTGACTATCACAGTGTAACTCAAATAGTTCTGAGTTAACTATATCCATCCACCTGATGGATGCCTGCTCCTCCCCCCTTCCCCCTCCCCCCCCCAAACTCATTGTAGGGAAGAGATCCTACAAGCTTTTTCCTTTACAGGACCAAGTGGATGCATGGAGTCGCAGGAGGTAAGTATCCTGGCATTTCACCATGCATGGGTGGAAGACTAACCTGTATGTGCTTTCATGGAGGAAATGAATCCAAGGGAAAGCACCAGCCATTTGCACCAAGGTTCAAGGAATTGTTATGATTACCTGCATTATTTAATTATTGACAGTGTTTACAGAGTGCTCATTGATACAGTGCTTAGCATAATTCACAGTGAGAAATAAAACAGTAATGACCAGTACCCATAATTGATACTGGCCATAATTTTTCAGTTCTTGCACATATGGAATTCCTTATGTGTAAGTGCTATGATGCTCTGACAAGGTCATGGCCATATGTGTGTGTGGTCACATGCTTGGTCATGCATGTCATCAGATCACTGCAGCAGCTTCTGCAGATGGAGCTCTATGTGTATAAATATTGAATAGGTCACTGGACTTAAATTAAACGCAAATATAGCACACAATCTAGTATAAAACAGATTAAAGCTAGGAGACATTACAAGACCTGGCATTCAAATTACACCAAAATACACTTAGCAGAGCCTCTACCGTGATGTCTCATGTACGAGTTCTCAGTGATAAAACTGAGCAACCCTCAGGGTTATATTGATGCCCAGCTTGCTGACTCCCACTTCTTCAGAGGAGAAATGCAGGTTTACTTCCTTGTAACTAATGATCAGCAAGTGGACATCTGTAGCATCATGCTGGGTCCTCCACCAACATTTCAAGAAGTTTAAGAACTTTAGAGAGCGGATGTTACTTTCTGACCCCTCTTGGGGTTGTCTGTGGCTTAACCTTTATACAAGCATGATCTAAGCTGTGGGTGAAGATCTTTCCACTCAGTGCCTTATGACCGCTGGGGGTTCATATGCAGGATCGCCTATGAGTTCATAGATACAGATGGACTTGTTTTTGCTCCCTTGGCCTTTCTTTGATACATATGACTTTGCTTTCCTCTTCTTCCACATTTTAGATGCCCAGTACCTAGAAACAGAGGAGAGCGTTGTTCAAAATACGCTCCAGCACGTACCCGATCCAATATCTCCAAAGCTGTGATGCTTGGCTTTTTATGTCTAATTTTTCTTCTCATCACTTTAATAATTGCATTACGAAGGAAATGCAAAAACAAGACTAATGTGGAGTAAGCAGCTCAACTCTTCATGTTACATTTTTCCCTTTCTTTCAAATATTAAAGCTGCAAACAGAAAGTCTTATCATAAACAAACGTGTTCTACTTTGTAGAGGCCCTCCTCTCAGCCCATACAGTGCAGAGGCTGCTGTAAGAATTAATCCTGCTTTTGATCATGACGAACCCAGTAGTCTTTGCCGTGGGCCATGTAGCGTAAGTGCTTGTATCAATTCTTCAGAGAGCAGTGATCAAGGAACATTACAAAGTCACGAGCACAGAACAGAGTATGGAGGTAAAATGAATGCATGTAGTCCTCGTTCTCTTCAAAATGTGTCTTCTCTGAGTTATAAAACTGCCTCCCCTCTGGTCACAATCCACTTTTAACTTACTGGTTATCTTGTCTTTAATATTGCAGGACTAAAAAAAAATACTAATCCTCACTGTCACTAATCAACTGTGGGTCAAACTAGACATCAAGGGAAATGCATGTTCGCTGCAATTCACATGTTTTCCCTCTGAGGGCACGATTTCCTCAGAGATGAGTGTTTCAACAATCAGATTTGCCAAGTAAGGCTGTGTTTACCTTCCAGTCACCAATCACAAAATGAAGCATGCTGAATGCAAAATAGGTAGGTCAAGTAAAGTAGCTGATAACAGACATCTTTCACCACATAAGGAATCACTGCTTCTAAATACAGGTTAAATGTATCATCTAGTTTGACCCCGCAATACTTCTCTGAATTAGAACATCTCTCTTAGCAGAGATAATCTTGCAGCACTTCTGCATGGTATGTCAGTTTTACCTTCTTATCTTTCAAGATATGTATAGCAAAGTGCAAATGCATGTCCTTTGTTTTCTCACAGGCCACCAGACGGAAAACAGAAACTGACAAGTTAGTGTCTGAAGACCCAGATGCCAGGCCACAAACCAGAGGATATAAAGGTTCCAGGGTTCCCCTCCCCGCTTTTAAAATTATTTGTTACATTACTGAGGTTGGAGAAAAAACATGATATTTCAGGTATATATGTCTGGTATTGCTGAATGTAATAAAACTCTTTAACATATAGTGTTACTCACCATAAAATATTATTGTGAAAGCATCATCTGACCTCCAGATGGGTTAATACAAATTTAATGCAGCCCATTGGCTACACTAGGTAGTGAATGGGATATATTTGAGTATTTTCTTCAGACTGGCCTAATGGACTCTGAGAAAGGCCCCTTAATACAGTGGTGCCTCGACTTACGAACTTAATCCATTCTGGAAGATGGGCATAACTCGAAATGGTCATAAGTTGAAGGACCATTTTCCATTGAAATGCATTGAAATGCAATTAATCCGTTTCAGCCAAAGAAAAAAAATCACCAAAAAAATCACTGCAAGACCCATCAGAAACGCGATTAATCCCTTCCAGTTGAAGGGCGGGGGGAAGCAAGCAGAGCATGCAAGACACATCAGAAAGGGGAAAAAAGCAAAGAAAAAAGCAAGCAAAGCATGCAAGACACATTGGAAATGGGGAAAAAGCAAAGCAAGAAGCAAAGCAAGAAGCAAACAAAGCATGCAAGACAGATTGGAAATGGGGGAAAAGCAAAGCAAAAAACAAGCAAAACATGCAAGAGATTGGAAATGGGGAAATAGCAAGGCAAAAAGCAAGCAAAGCATGCAAGACAGATTGGAAATGGAGGAAAAGCAAAGCAAAAAGCAAGCGAAGCATGCAAGACAGATTGGAAATGGGGAAAAAGCAAAGCACCAAAAAACAAACAAACAACCCCCCAAGACCCATCAGAAATGGGGTGGAACCTCCAAAAAGCAAACAACCCCCCCCCCAAAACCTACCGGAAATGGAGGGAGAAAAAAAAAACAAGCTCCCCAAGACCCATTGGAAATGGGGGGACTCCAAAAAACAACCCCCCCACAAAATACCAACCAACAAACAAAACCCCCAAGACCCATCACAGCACAGAAACATAAACCCCCCCAGCCCAAAACCATGCTGCAAAACCCACCCAGAACAGTTTTTAAAAAACAGAAAGCAGCACCTTACCTTACCAGGCAGTCCGGAGCCTCCTCCGATCGCACACTCTCTAACTGCTAGGGCAAAAGAGCTACAAAGAAGCAGCCTCTTCACCCAGCAACGGTTAGCAATTTGAATTTCCCACCTTTTTTCCCTGCCTTTTTTCAGGTTGTAACTCAAAGCTCCAGCCACAAGTCAAAACAAAATTTTGTAACTCGAAATGGTTGTAAGTCAGGATGTTCGTAAGTCGAGGCACCACTGTATATATGCTGGGCTGAAATGTACTGGCCAATGTACAGATATTAGATAAAGCTAGTGTTCTAAGACATGATTCGCTCTTTTCTTGTTCGCAAATGGATGCCCTTCATTCCCCCCCTTTCCTTTGCAACAAAAGGAGAAGACTGTGTTAAGACTTATACAGTATTCTAGTGCTGAACTGAGGGCTTCCTATTTGGCAGTGATAAGAGGTTTCTTTTTCTTTTTTTTTCCTAAATATTTTTAGGCTACTTTACTGTGGAAGGAGCTACATTGTTATTTCACACTCCTGGATGAAGCAAGCAATGCGCAGGTCTAGAAGAAGCAAGACACATGGCCATTACTTCCTTCAGCAATATTAGGATAATTTAAATATTAAGGCTTGATCCGATAGTTGCATCCCAAGTTCTTCGCTATTCAACGGGGCAACGGTTGGCTGTTGCTAAATATTCTCATATAGGGTATATGTGTGTGAAATTCTCCAGTAGATGAGAAAGGACCTGGCAAAAGACGATGAGTTTCAGTACATAAACATTTTCTCCAGTAGAAGCCTGAAGTGTGGGATCAAAAACATCAGAAATGTAACTCTTTTCTGAACAGTTTTGAATTAAAGGTTGTTAAAATTTGTTCAAGCAGCTTTTTTTTCTATAGGTTTTAGCAAGAGAACTTCTGGTAGTATTCAAGTTCATTCGCCAGTGAAGTCTTTGAGGGAGGGAGGACATGACGATAAAAAAGATTTCAGAAGGCTACCAGTATTTTTTCCATTAAGGCAAAGAACACCAACTGAAGTTTATTTTTTGCTAAAAAGACAATAAAGATGGCTGCACCTATTTTCCTCAGAACTGTTAAATTTCACTGTTATCCACATTATCCTACATGCCGTGCTGTGTATTTAATAACTGTACAGTGTTTATATGATAATTATTTTTGTTATTCTTAAGCTTAGATGTGGACGCAGAAGTCTGTGCTGGAAGTGTTAAGAACTGTGATGTTCTATCCTCAAATAATTTTTTAAAATGGACAGCAAAATGGCTGACTCATATAAAACTTACTGTGACAAGAGTCAGTGATGTTTTAGTAATTTTAAAATATCATGACTGGAGAATCATAATGGAATACTGGCAATTTACTCAAGGCTTGCAATAGGATTTTGACCATGCTTAGTGCTACAGCTGGTTATCAGGTTTCCCTCCCTAGCATCTACCACCAATGGTACAGATTTCAAATAAAGAAACATACTCCAAATCTTTGTGAGCACTTTTATCTGAGAGAAGTGAATGCAGTTCTCCTTGAAGTATTCTTTTTTAGAGTCCGCTGGTAAATTTTAGGGTAAATTTTAGGGTCTTGCAAAGAAGGGATTTATTTCCTTTTATTATGTGCTTTCAATAGATCAACCTTCCTTAACCTGATGTCTTCCAGCTGTGTTGAATAACATTTTGCATCATACCCAGCCACCTTAGGCCATGCTAAATAGCAACGATGAAAACTGCAATCCTATACAGCTGATGAGCACCAGGTTAGGGAAAACTGTAATAGGTTATTCAGTACAGTTGTTGTTACTGTTTAGGGACACTAACTTACTTGTGTAATGATTGGTTTTTCAAGACTTCTCAGCTAGCAACATACAGGCACATCTAGTATTTTACCGCATGCTAAACATTGCACAATTGTAAACAATCCTCTAATTTTTTCACTAAGAAGCAGTTCCAATGTTTTCAAGAAAGCAGGTGGTGTATGGGGAAAAGAGAGAGGCATATTAGGAGCATGGGCACAACCCATCTGGCACTGGAGCTAAAGGTCAGCTTTGAAGGAAAAAAATTCCGTGTGATCACGTTGTCTCTCCCTCCATTTGTAGAGAGGACTCAACGCAACAATTACGGACAAATAGTTAGACTTGGAACAGAGCTGGAAGTGATAATATTTTACAAGGGTTGTTTAGTATCACTTGTTTCCTTATTGAACAGTAGATATTTTACTTTAATTATCAAGTGCATTTCTGCTCTGGGTATAATCCATGGCACATGAACCATCTTCCTGTGTGCATTTAGGCATTACAGCTTTAATTGCTTTTTATATATGTTTACTGCTCAGAGCCAATACACGTAAAAGTTGACCTGATCATCATCTGTTCTTCTGTCGTGTCAAGAAAACTGCCTACCATGTCACATTCTCATTCAACTTGTAGATACTGCAGCAGGATTAGGCTTAGTCATCTTCCTCAAGGTAAAAAATAAAGCTAAATTTATAGTGTTCGTGTAAGTAACAGCCTTCAAGTTTAGGTGGAAAAGATTACACCTTTAAATCACTGGGGAAACCTACATGGAAGCCAAGATGCTATTTCACACAATTTTAGGGCATACATATGCAATTACCCCATCTCATACACCCCAAGCATTATTACTAGCAGTACAAAGATAGATATCTCATTGTCTTTACCGCTTCTTCTCAGAGTTATTTTTTGTATGTGTTGCTTGCTTAATACCCAATTTATAGTAGTCAAGCAACAGATGTCATTTTTACACTTTGGTTTTAAATGAAATAATTGTTCTTGACCATAATTTATCATTATCCAATAAAAAGTATAAATATCTTTGCTGGATGAGAATGTTTTGTATTTCAATAAAATTATAAAATTATTTGACATATGTTCAGGATTGTACATCTATATGTTTCATACCACAAACATCCCTTTGTAGCTGTATTTTTATTTTTGATAAATGCTAACTAAATGAACCTTGGGGGATTAGGGAGAAAATTCTGATCTAAAAAATTTATTCATTACAGTTCTGTATTTTATATAAAAATACACACATATCCTAATTACAAACACTGTTTTCTGTCCAGAAAAATCATGACTTCCTTCATTTGTTTCAAAGCAGCTTAAAGAACAACTTTTTGTTTGTTTGTGAAAATGTATTATTGAAGGAAAATAAATGGCAAAAAATCCCATCCCTTGTCCCAAACTCCTGATAGAACTGAAGCATTTCATTTATAATTTACCCCCTATTAATAAAGCAGTTTATGAAACACAAGTTTTTAGAAGTCAATATTCTTTTAATATCAAATGTTCTTTATTTGCTTTAGCTCATACATCAAATTGGGAGGGGAGCAAACTAGCACTTCAGAACCCTTCAGTCATCTCCATTCTTTCTTAAATAAATAATATTCCAGAGAGATCAACAAAGAGGATTTATTTTGCTGCAATTTTCAGTACATAATTAAGGTCATTGACAAAACTACCTGAACCATTTTAGGAGGCAATAAATCCAGAAGTTAAATAGATACAATGATAGAAAATAAGCAAGTTCCCGATGGAATGTTAGTCACAGCCCATTGTTTCCTGAATGGCAACTGATGGGCAGGTGTGAGTTCTGCATCATGTGAGTTGGGAATGCCATATCCTGAGCTAAGGGAATAAAGCTCACATCTGCATTTACATCACCAAATGGCTGCACTTTGAATGTGATAACTTCTACATGTTCAATAACAGAGCACAACAGAGCAAACATTGCAGGGAAAAACTTCTTTATCACATTGTGTTGTGTCCCCCTCAAAAGAAAGACAAAAAAAGAAGTGTCACATATTCCAGTGTAATCAAGTGACATAATCATACATGTATTTGTAAATCAGTCTTCCTAGGGTTTTCACAACATGCATGAGGAAATGGCAAAGAGTATTTCCTAGTTTTAACAGATAGTTTTAACCTCTCTCATCTTGAGGATCAAACTTTTTTCCAAGGCAAGGTACTGTATTCACCGAACCAAGCAAGTCCAATTTCAATATGGTACCAACCTGCAATGTATTCAGTACTGAATCTGATCACCCTCATCCTTAGTCATGTTTTTCCCACAAGCTAAATGCCCTGTAGAAAGGCACACATTTTAATAGGAGCATAGATCAATGAAGGGGAAAAAAAAACTGTAGCATTGACCATTAGGCGTGATGTGTATTCCTAAGGGTCTGCCCACTTACAAGCCGATGAAAGCAAGAGTCAGCGAACAGCCTGATTTGGGGGTGCAAATGTTAGGAGGAGGGATGATGACCTGGCATGCTGTCCTAATTGCAGTCACACACCAAACAACTGTCCTGCAGGAAGATGGAATACAATTTAAGAAGGGAGGGCAGAAAGCAGTCATCCTGGTGTCCACCTTCCCAGTGGAATCACACGCACTCCCTATAAACTGATCCTCTACCTGACAAGCACTGAAAAAGGTCTCAGAGTCAGTCAACTGAGGGGCTGGGCAGAGTGATGAGATCTGGGAAGAGAGGTTTCTTCCAGAACTTTCCACTGGCAGAAAAAGCTTACATATATAGGCATTGATTCCCACTGTTACATCCTGATTGGGCATGCAACCTCTGAGGGATGTTTGATACGATATAGCCAATCAACTGCTGGGGATGGAATAGACTAAATTTAATCCATCTCTGCCAAAGCTGATAAAATCTCTCTCTCTTTTGGGGGGGTGGGGTGGGGCATGGGTTTGTGCAGCTGGACCTAGAGGATGACTTTAGAGGATCTTGGTTTCTATGTTTAAAAATACTTTCATTTTTTAACGTCCTCCCCCACCTCCCCACCCAAAATTTACTAGGTGCAGGGGCACATGGCTGTTCAGTTTTATAGCTGCTACAACATGGAAAGTATCCTGTCTGCTCATTAGGTGTGCAGCAACAGAAGGCAAAGATAACACTAGATGTTGGAAGTATACTTGAAAATGTAAACGTTAGAGCCGTGGAATGTAATTAACTTTTTAATGTAATATAGAAAGTGTCCCCAAGCGTGTTCTGGGTTTCATTTTTCTTAACCCGACAATATTTCTTTGTTTCACTAAATTGCCTAACAGTGAGATCATACCAAGACTTAATCTGTTGATATGAGAAAGTAATAGGGCTATCCAGTAAGACCAATAAAAAAAGGCATCTTAAATCTCTCTGAAAGAAATTGTTATGCATACAGAATTTTAATCACCACAAACGGTAGTGTGACAAAAAAGAAAGAGAAAAGAAACAAAGGAAGGAAAGGAAAAGGAAGGAAGGAAGAAGCCTGAAGTTGAGAGATTAGCCACAAACGATCTTCAAGATTAGATGAAAATTCTTATTATTTCAATACTATGAAATTAAACCATTTGAAGCAGCATATCATAACTGGAAATTCTACTGCTGTCTTACTCATTTACAGTCTGAAATGTTTTGACAGAGGACATCTAATCCTGGTGTATTTCAAGATACAAAGTAAAAAAATGTAACTTACTACAGCCCAGTGAGGCTTTGCAGTCACAAATCAAAAGCAACAACAACCCAGAATCAACACTCTCAGTTCTTAACGTATTTGATATTATGTGTCTCTTGGGTGCTATTTGTGAAATAAGCTTTTAATTTAGACTAAGAAAGGATTTCCTGGGAAATGATGACAGAAAAAGTAAAAATGAATTGTCCAAAGAATTTTGTGCTGTAAAAAAAAAGTTGTTTTTTAAAAGGGAAACACATCCACAACTACTTAATGTGCACCAAAATAATGTTTCGGAGTATCCGTTATTAATGCCCTTCACAACAATTGTCCTGTTCCCAGTTTTATAGTTCTCAGTATGTGAAATCTCACCACTTATTTAACACAGATTTCCCCAAACAAACAAACAATCTTGACTATACATGTATATATAGATGTAGAGCAGCTTTCATAATCCACACATAAAGTTTTCATCTTATAAAAGTTTGCTTTAACTTCTGAACAAAAGAAGTTAATACTAAGGCCTCGCAATTCCAGTCAGAAGATGCTTTATTCTACACTAGCCTTTCCCCTTCTGGTACCCTCCAGACCTTTTCCACTACAAACTCCATCATCCCTACAGCAGACGATGGGAGTTCCAGTAGAAAACATCTGGCGGGCACTGGATTGAGGAAGGTTATCCTACGCTATCTTGAAGAAACTAACATTTCAGGTATTACAAAGGAAAGATCCTGTAAGAAGCAGAGAAAACATAGTTCATCATAGTTATGAACCAGGCAGTAGATTATTCTACATCACAATATTATTAATGTGAGAGATGGTACAGTATACAGAAGAGTTAAGAGTATGAACAAAAGCAGACCATATTTCACTGAAACAAATGCTGAGATGCAATGAACTAGTGGATTCCCTACACAAACATCAGGAGTACAAATTAAAAACCACCACGTTAATAAAATCTGTTTATATTAAATATCTCTATATGATTACGGAATGTTTAAGAGTCCTCTATTGCCCAGAGGAACCAGTTCCCTTTATTATTAAGGAAGGAGAAGTTCTCAAAACACCAAATGCAAAGGTGCAAAAATAACTATTTATTTCAACAGGTTCTGCAGCATGGCAGTTGCGTAAGTAGGCCGAGCTTGCTTGCTCGCAATTGCATTTTGGAGATACTGGATTCCCCCACAGCGCTCCCAAATCTCTTCAAACTGCCTCGGCAATATTTCAGCACCACGCTTGCGAGTCAAACCGGTCTCTTCAAGGTTCAGCTCACACATCTCCATATCATCTTTACCTGAAATTGAGGGGGGGGGGAAACCAAATTCCACAAGACATGCCTTGGGTTTTTTTCTGTGACTTCTGCCGGACGAGGCTAAAACAGCAGTTCTTTTTGGAAAAAACAACAACAAACTGCTGTATTTCAGTTTTAAGACACATTCTCACAAAGTCAGAAATGAAACCACAATGAAAACAGGCCTCAACGTCCACATTCTGCACGTAGCCCAAGATTCACAAGAGGTGATTCGATAAACATAATAACTGCACACTGTCTGGTCAATTCCGACTTACAGCAACATTTTACGGGTTTTTCTGGGTACTAAAATAGAAGTTCTATTCTTCTGGAGGTGCTCCGAGACTGAGTGGCCTTGCCAAGGCTCCTCCCTTGGTAAGCCTAGTGGGGAATCAAACTCCTGACCTCTGTCTTGGCAGCCAGGTACCCAGCCAGCTGATTCTATACATATATGGTCATGTACAACTGTCTGTGGCTGTAGCTCACTTCACCAACTCATCACCTGTGCCAAAAACTCTGGAAACATTCAGACAGAAGCCCAACTATTCACTTGGTTCATGGGAGATTGCCTAGAGAGAAGTGCCTGGCCCCCTCCTCTTTCCATTGTTACTTTTTTCCACATGGGAACTGCCTAAAGAGATGTTCCTTTTTGGATGCGGGCTCTAAACATGAACAAGAACCCTCCTTCCCTGGGCTTCTTCCTCTGATGGAGGGCCTACACGTGAGCCAGGTCCTACTGTTTTCTAGATCTTTCGCCCTCCATATAGAGAAAGTGATGGTGGATAAGAGCGGGGCTGGGTGCTCTTCCCCATCAACATGCCACACTCTATTTTAAAATATCTATAGATATTTTTAAATTGATGTAAAAAAGGGAAAAGAAAAACACAATTTGAATGTGATGCTCATGATGTTGCCCAGTCTTGTTTCACTTTAGAATTCAAGACGGAAAGCACTTTTTTGAAAATCCTGTCATGTGGAAAGCTAGCATTCCCTGCAGTGTATTCCTATAAGGAAGTTTATTTATTTATTTATTTATTTATTTATTTATTTATTTATTTATTTATTTATTTATTTATTTATTTATTTAATATCCCGCCTATCTGGTCGGGTCAGGACCACTCTAGGCGGCTAGATTCTTATACAGAGTCATTTTGAGACCATCCGTTCCCACAGATGTTATGCATCATATCTTCTTTCCAAACAGCTGGATTGCTTTAAATTTTGAGAGATTCTACTGGTGCTTTAATTCACCTGTATGGATGTCTTTGGATTGTATATAACAGATTGAATATAAACTAACTAAAAATAAGCCGTGAAACAAACAGCAGTCAGGAACAACAAAAACAACACTATTATAAGCAATTTCAGATTTCAGAAATGATGTCATCAGAGCTCCAAACCCAGCAATTTTAGGAACAGCATATATACTACACTGATATTTAACAGATACATAAGTTTTTGGTTAAAACATGTATCTATAATACCAGTCAATGTCCGTTATTATTTTGATTGACTGTGCCTCTACTACTACTACTACTACTACTACGTAGTAGTAGTAGTAGTAGTAGTAGTAGTAGTAGTAGTAGTAGTAGTAGTAGTAGTAGTAGTAGTAGTAGTAGTAGTAGTAGTAGTAGTAGTAGTAGTTCAGATCTTGATTTCTCCCAAGTGTTCCACTTAAATGTCTACATTTCTGGTTTAGCTGTTAAATAAAACCAAAATTAATACCAACCAGCCACTAGCAAGATAGGTGGCTTATCAGGATGAAGTTCCATCTGACGGGCGATCCACGGTCCGTCAAAGTGTGCATACCACCAACCCTTCTTCTTGTTCTGGGGATCTTTGTACTGATCGGCTGGACGGATGAAGGGGATGCGGAAGTAACGCTGCTGCCGACTCACTTCAGTCCCCTGATGCTGCTGCTGCTGCTGCCTGGCAGCCAACTGACTTGCTTGGTTCTGTTGGGCTAGGAGAAGCAACCAGTATTTAAATTACTAGTCCAACGCATCAACAATCAGCCTTCAGAACACCACCTTCTTGCCCAATTTGTGCCAAAAGTAATTAAAGTTTGAACATACTGTATCTACTGCAAAGGAAATAAAAATAGAAGTGAATGGTAGCTTGCAGTCTCCATGAGGCTGTTGGAACCATCATGGGCTCAGTTCCAACCATGGGCAACAACTGCACGGGGGTTCTAAGTTTGGACTCTTGATGAAATTCCCTACCTCTGTACTTTTCTATATGGTTAATCAATGCAACAACACAACGTCATGTTGACTTCAGCAAAAAAGAGGGAGCCTTCTGAGCTATTAAAATGACACAGCACATCCATTGGTTGCTGAAGCAAGAGGACATGCCTTCAGCAAACAATACTTTCCTAGAAAGTCTTTAAAGCATGAATTTACAAGGCCAGTCACTATAAGCGTAGAGGTAGGTGCAAATGGAGGGAGGGGGAGAGACAAACTCAGGGGCCAAGCACATACTTTGCATGGGGAAGTTGCACAGGCTCTATCATGGGCATCTCCTGGCAGGGCTAGCAAGACTGCTGCCTGAAACTCTGGACCAGTGATATCAGTCAGTATTGACGTGGAGGCCTAGAAGGGCAGCTTTCTATATTCCTAAGAGAATGAAAGGATGGGACAAACTGACAGAGCCACCAGTTGGCTTACCGGTAACCCCATATTCTAAGAGAGGGAAAAGAGGACAACATTCTGGATTTTCAAAGGCAAAAATGTTACTAAAAGGATTAACCATTAGAGCCATTTTAAATTAATAATAGTAGACTTATAAATTTCTAATGTATTAGCAGAAACATATTCCACTAAAACCTGCTAGGTACCCTAGGCTCAGGAACATCTAGATTCAATTTATCTTGCTGGAGTTCACAGAAGAGCACTTCTGTAATTGCTCATTTATATAAAAAAAAGATATTCAGAATTTAAATCTGTTGGGGTCAACTGAACAGAAAACACAGTTCAACAATTCAGTATAAAGGAAGTAATTAACAGTGAATTCATATGACTATAAGCCAAGTGACCATTAAGTAGTAATCCTGGTTTCAGCTTCGAGCTCAATAAAAATGGATGAAATTGCTGTCACATCAGATTTATTTATTTTCCTTCCATATTTCTAGACAAGATATTAGCAACAAGGAATAGAAAGGTAACAGCTCCTTTTAAATGTTGTGTTTAGACACATAGAAATGATAACCAGCTATCCCATAGCGAAAAAAAGGTATCTGCTGAAAGATTTCCCATCATTAGTAACAGTAAAAAACACAGATAATATGTCTATAATAAAATGAGCAAAAAGACCTCTCTCTTTTTCAAACCTCATCAAAGAGGTTTAAGCCATCATTATGGCATTTAACAACCAATGCCACCAGCAAACATTAGCTGCAACCACCACTCATAAATTTTTCATCATGGAGAATTTAGAGATCTCTAATGCCATTCTAATTAATCAAGATTCCAAGTAATGTAACTTATTTATTTTTTGGTAAACTGTTTCCATGTGCTTTGCAGCAAATGGAGTTTGTGGCTACCCATTCTCATTGGTGAACCAGGAGGACTAAGAACAAAAGAACATTTTCTTGAAACTTGAAGGTAGATGACAGGTCTTTTTTCTCATCTATGCGCACACCTGACCCCACCCAAATTTTCACCTGTGTTTTGACGGAAAGTGTCTTCCTTGCAACAGATTATTCCTCTATCCAAAAAAAAAAGTCCCTTAAAACTTTTGCTCTGAGTATTAGTGGATTAACGACAAATACAGTGTTTTGCTGCAACAGAAAACAAGGTATCTAGCTGCAACAAAGAAAAGAATGAAACTTTACGCCAATTTATAATTTGAATTGATCATTTCTTTTTAATATCAGTATTTCTGGAATAATCGATATATCTCTGTTAGATACTGTTTTTTTTTCCCTTGTAATTTTGGGTAGAAAAATAATACTTGAATAGACTTTTGATTTGATATAAATGCAGCAAAACACAACAGCGTTAGTAGAACAAAAGTCTCTGTTTTCCCATTTTTAGAAAGCTGAAAGAAACCACTTTCCCCACTTACTTGCATTGTTCATAAACGGTGCAAAATCTGCAAACAAACATTTAATACTGAAGACGCCATGTAAACATGTCAATATGACCAGATGACATCTATCAATAAACTAGTAAAAAAAACACCATTAAAAACAGGAACATTCTGTTTCACTCCAACTGCTCTGGCTTTTCCACCGCCACTACAGCTTAAACCAGGGGCGTCAAACCCCATGGGCCTCGAGGACGGCATCCAGTAAGAGCTATGAGGGTGGGGCACGTACACGTCTGCAGGTACCCATGCCAATTCATAGAGGCCACACACATCAGGTGTTTGGGGGGCAATGGGTAGTGTGTGTGTCCCTTGTTAAAAAACGATGTGTGGCAGAGAGTATGCACTCTTGGCATGAGTTGCCTCAATTTCCTAATGTATCTAAAGCTACTTGTTCTGCAGACCCATCTCCCCAATCCGCCTGTGACTTGATGTTTCCCTGTGGCACATTCCCAACTGGATCTCACAAGATGAGAGGCACAGGCAGTATAAGCTTCCCTATTCAACTATTTTATGACAGGCAAAACAATATATTTCGAAGTCAGACTTTTTTATAGCTTACCTTTAAACAAAACTCTTTAAGGTGCCACAATGTTTTTGTCTGCTTTATTTCTTCTACATGTATTTTTTTCTTCATTTTACTTGATGTGCTTTCACAGACCAACATAGCTACCTTTTTCTATATCTAGAGCTATTCTGTGTGTTATTTCCTCCCCCAAAAGACTCTTTGAAATGACACCTTTAAGACCTATTGAGATTATCGAATGTGGAATGAACCTTTTCCACACTTTTAGAAAAGAGTGTTTCCCTCTTACCGTAGTCTGTCACCGATTTGGGAGCACGCTGTTCCGTTTCTGCATTGCGCTTCTTGTTCTTGGATTTCCAAGCGTGGTAAACTTTTAGCCGTCTGTGGAACTCTTCTCTGCAAGCTGCCAGCAGTTCAATATCTGTCTCAAGCACACGCACAGCGGGAATGGAATTAAGTGAGAACACAGAATACAATATATTTCCAACTTGTGTTGACACAGCTTTATGGATTAAATTATTTTAGAGCAACTTAGATTTATAGCATGGCTTCTTGCAATCTAAATAAACTCAATATTGCATTTTTTAAAAAAGGATAAGAATATGAGAATAATCTTATTCTTCATAGTTCTTTAGATTTGTTTTAAACAGATGAAGGAAATGAACAGAATCAATATGGAGAAAACTGAACAATTCAATATATATGAAGCAGATTTATTTGCTTGTTTCTTATGTTTATAAGAAATGTACGTCTAAACCTGGCTAGATAGTTGAGTGAGCTAAGTAGCCAGCTATAGAGACTGGGAGTTCAGTTCATCAGTGTGCCTTCCAAGAGAACAGCCACCTTTCATTGCCTTGGACAAGCTATGCAAGCTCAGAGGTGCCCCCAGAAGAAAGGAATAACAATCCTCTTCTGAGTAGTCTATGCTCCAGTAACTCCCAAAAGGGTCAGTAAAAGTTGGGTTTGCCTTGATGGCATATAATTCAAATTCATTACATTTATAACCTGCCTATTAAAGAAATATACACTTCCACAAATTTCATAATTCATTGGATCCAAAGGTGACTTTAGGTTGGGTATATTTCCCTCGTAAAAGTCCTGTTTTATCTTGTACTAGATTGCTATGCTGCTGTTCAAGATGATGTGCCACTAATTGTTCACATTCAAAAAAGTCTAATCAAATTAGGTAAAGGTAAATGTTCCCCTTGACATTTAGTCCAGTCGTGTCTGACTCTAGGGCGTGGTGCTCATCCCTGTTTCCAAGCCGTAGAGCCAGTGCTTGTCCGTAGACAGTTTCCATGGTCATGTGGCCGGCGCGACTAGACACAGAACAATGTTACCTTCCCACCGAGGTGGTACCTATTTATCTATTCGCATTTTTGCATGCTTTCGAACTGCTAGGTTGGCAGGAGCTGGGTCAAGCGATGGGAGCTCACTCTGTCATGTGGAGTCGATCTGACGACGGCTGGTCTTCTGACCCTGCAGCACAGAGGCTTCTGTGGTTTAACCCGCAGTGCCACCAAGTCCCTCTCTAATCAAATTACATTTTCATTAAAAAGAGGGCATTTAAATGCTTATATTCATGTCTATTTTAAATCTGCATTTAAATTTATATGCTGTTACTACCCTGATAGCTTCATCTGACTGACAATGGAAAACTGCTCCATGATTTGACTCTTCTCTTTCTCCCCTTCCCCTTCTTTTGATGTTGGGAAAAGGAAACGGCTGCATGAATTTTCGAAAAACCAATTTTTTATCTATCCTACTCTCTCCACCACCCCGCAACACAAAATCTCTTGCTTCCTATTCCTCTCTTAAACACATTTCTTTATCCCTCCTTCTTTTCAACTCATGTCAGGTCATGTAATGCAGAGAGAGAAACAAGAAACTTTGAAATCTTCCTGGCAATTGAACCTGCAGTTCAACTGAAGTGGCTGATGTGACTCCCAGCTTGAAGAAAAAAGTCTGAAGAAATCAGGTTTCACCTCATGGGGTGCAGAATCATTTTTCTCTCTCAGCTTTAAAGACAAAAACCTGCTCCCATGCTGGCTAGAGGAAGATGTGGTGCCCAGAAATATGCTAAGCCCCATTTCAGAAAAGCTGAAGATCACATTGCACCTAAACGTATGAAGTCCTGTAGCGTCAACATCCAGGTAGGATGATTTTTAGACAAAGCTCAGGCTCGGAAAGAGGGAGTGGCTCAGGATCATCAAACGACTGTCATGATTCTGTAGGGACTTGCCCTTGGGTCTTCACAAGTCCCACCCCAACATCCTAATCTAACCATACGTGCTTTCCTCATTCAAACATCTACTCCCAAATGAAAAAGAGCATTCTGAATATGGCTGAACACCTTTGGTGCAAATTTGAAGCTGGAATTTGGGTAAACAGAGGTATTATTGTCTGTTAATGCAATGCCCAGAATAAATTTATGCCTTACATTTTATACCCCATTTCCCCTCCAATCAGCTCAAAGTAAGGTACACTGCCCTCCTCTTACCTATTTTTTCACAGCAAAAGCCATCTTGGCAGCACGAGAAAAGGGTGAGGGGGGTGCTGGATTTCACTTCTTTACAGTCAACAATGTTCTTTGGTTATCCAAAAGCTAGTGCTCTTCTTGTTCCTGTTGCTCTTTAAGTAATACCAAGCCTAGTCTATGGCTGGAGACACATTTGTGCAAAACCTCCAACTTTCACCGATCACTTTCAGCCCCATTTCATTAGCAAAGGTTCAGTTTAATTTAAAACTTAATTGATTGTAATACATTAGCACCAGTCTTTTCGGCGTATTTGGTGCAACAGCCTGGATGCAGAAATGTAAGCCTTGCTGTACATACAGCCTATTAAAACACTGCATGAACTCTCAAGCAGGCTCTTGTGGAACAAAGCAAAGAGCAATTAATCCTTCAATTAATGGTTCTTTGAGTCTTATCCTATGGGACATGAGTGTCTCACTCTTGCCTCCATTACGACTAACAAAATAATTTCATGCCATCAGGTCAATTCCAACTTATGGTAGCTCTTTCCAGTGTTTTCTAGGTTTACCACTCCTTTTTCCTGGAGGCCGTCTAGGACTATGCAATTAAAAAAAAAACAGTCATCAGAAAACCATTTCCAAGAGAACTATTCACACAAGCCCTTTCAGGACTTCAAAAAAGGAGTTAATTATAACCAGACAGCAGAAGGAACAAGCTGGGCCCATCATCCTCCATCCCCGCTCTCCCTTCAGAGCTAAATCTGAAAAGAGCAGTTTGCGTCCATGGAGGCTCCCAACAGAAAATCTGAAAAGTCAAGGCTTCCAATCAAATAGATACTCTACATGCATAGTCTTCCCCGTTCTTCAGATTTAGTCCTCTACATGGATAAAGGGCTACATTCAACACAGAGAAAACCTGCCTTCACCTGGTACACAAACATACAGGGTTTTGCTTTTAAGAGAACATATATTTCCAAAGATAAATCCCCACTAATAATCTCAATTCCAACTTATGGTAGCTCTTTCCAGTGTTTTCTAGGTTTACCACTCCTTTTTCCTGGAGGCCGTCTAGGACTATGCAATTAAAAAAACCAGTCATCAGAAAACCATTTCCAAGAGAACTATTCACACAAGCCCTTTCAGGACTTCAAAAAAGAAGTTAATTATAACCAGATAGCTGAAGGAACAAGCTGGGCCCATCATCCTCCATCCCCGCTCTCCCTTCAGAGCTAAATCTGAAAAGAGCAGTCTGCGTCCATGGAGGCTCCCAACAGAAAATCTGAAAAGTCAAGGCTTCCAATCAAATAGATACTCTACATGCATAGTCTTCCCCGTTCTTCAGATTTAGTTCTCTACATGCATAAAGGGCTACATTCAACACAGAGAAGACCTGCCTTCACCTGGTACACAAACATACAGGGTTTTGCTTTTAAGAGAACAGATATTTCCAAAGATAAATCCTCACTAATCATCTATCTAGTGCGAATTTATAGTTAAAAATTTAAGATCTCTCCCATGTTTTCAGAAAAGTTCCAATGAAACTTCAGTTTAAGACTGATTACTTTGAGCTTTAAGTTGATTCTGACTTACAGCAGCCCTTCTGGAGTTTTCTCAGTATAATTAGACATAGTTTACTGGTCTGCTGTTACCTTGGGACCACAGAGGCTACATGAGGCAACCCACGTGGGTGGGCATTTTGGCTCATCAACCACAAAAGCTCCAAGTGATTTCAGGTGGTCCCTCTTTCCAGCAACATCACACCAAATCATCTTGATGCATGTCTCTTCAATACATGGGATATTTACAAACAGCAGCTTAGGTCAGCCACGATCAATCACAGGTTTGTTTTGAATATAACGGTGCCATTTTTGTGGCAGGTGGTTAACAATCTGGTTCGCTTTTGTATGCAGAGCAGTGTGTGTCTGTGAGGATTGTTGAGTTATTCTGCACTGTTCCAAATGTTTACACTTTCTTTCTCCTTGACACCTGTCTGAAGAAACACTGTAAACGTCTCTACTAATGATGGCTAGGAAGCATTTAAAGAACAAACCACTTTTCCTAGATTTCTACCAGGATTGTAATTATTTAGTCAGTTGTTTCAGAATTCTGTCAAAGAAAATGAGATATAACTGCTACCATACGGCTGAACTCTTCCCCAGAATGGACCAGCTACTTACCACAGGAGGTATTGATTGTGTCACGTAACTCAGCATACTTCCACTTGCTCAAGTCATATTTTTTAGTGCCAGCAGCAGCTTTGGTAGCTTGAACTGAAGCTCCCCTAGAAATGTTCATTAAAATGGTATAGTAAGAGACAAACTAGTTAAGGCCAAGAAAACAGCTGAAACAGGGTACACAGACCTAAAAACTGCAGTAAGATGGGCAACAAACAAAAAAAGAGAGAGATGTATATACAGTATTGGCAGCGCTGTCAATATGTCCATTAAAAATATGTATAAAACTATTTCTTTCATCAACTTTTCTTCGTATTCCTTAATGCAGACGTGGGAAAGATTTGGCCCTCCAGATATTTGGGGATCCAACTCTAGAAAACCCTAGAAGGAAGGTCATACCTATAATATTAGGGGAGCTAGATTCCAAAACATCTGGAAAGGCACATCTTTTCCACTCCTTCCTTAACAATCACTTATTTCAAACAGTTTTAACAAAAGTTGCCACTTGGCTCAGCTTGAGTGTTTTGAACAAGGGATAGTGACAGACAGAAAGTTGTCAAAAGACAAAAAAAAAGTTCCTTCCCCACCAGTAGGTAATTTAATGCACAGCAGAATGATGTTACGTTCCCACATTGCTTCACTTATTGTTTTATTTTTTTGGACGCAGGCATGCCGAAATAAACTCTGCCAAAGTATACAAAATCAGGTAGATACACAATGATGGAAGTGACAGTCGATTAATTTTATTTGGAGTTAGATGCACAGATAACATTTTACACATTTGCACCCTTCACCCAGCAGATGCACAGAAAGCATGAGAACCTCTTCTTCTGGCTTCATAACTTTGTCAAAGGCAGATAAAGTATTCTAAGCACAGATGTACGATATCCACCCCTACTTGATCCATTCCATTACTTTTCTATCCTGCTTTTTTGTATATAAAAATATCAGCCCATAGTGATGTAGCATAATCAAGATTCTTGCTAAGCTGGGTGCATGCGTGCATGACTCCACTTTCCTCCATGCAGCTGTCTTCCTCCTCCGCGCAGTGATCACATTAAGTTCTGGTTGCAATGGAACCAGCGGGCAGGGAGGCGGAGTCGTGCATGCATGCAGGGGTGGAGTCATGAGCAACATTAAGTTCTGGTTGCAATGGAACCAGCAGGCAGGGAGGCAGAGTCGTGCATGCATGCGCAAGAGAGGCGGAGACCCATCAAGCAGGGCTGAAAATTGGAGGGTACGTTGAGTGTAATCAAAGGGGAATATCTCAGAGAAATGTTTAGATAGGAAAGAAGGAAAAAGAAAGAGATGACTTATCAACCAGGAAAAAAAAAACCCAAAGAACGCCACTGGAAACTGGTCTGTCTATCAAGTATGGCTAATATTCACGCTCTTAAGAGCTGCATCTAATAAAAAAATTATACAGTATAGGGTTTAGTACTAGTTTTAGTACTTCTCTATATCTTATGATTTTCTTGTTTTCTCTCAAGTTCAGAAGAGAAAATGCCTCCACTGGTGTTACCCAGCATGGTATTTTGACATACTTCTGTCTTTTAATTTTAGTCCAAGACCATAGTAAAGATTTTCTCAAAATATGATTATTAAATTGTTTAATATTGTTCACTCTGCTGTACCAAAGAAAGGCATGTGACCCCCATTTCAAACCATGACCTTCCAATTTTAACAGTCTTTGATTTTCCAATAAAATCCAGTCGTTGATCCACATTAATGAGGCTGCCCTGTAATAGAGCAGCCAGTTTGGGAGATCCATTCCTCCTCTCTGTTTCATATCCTGAAGTGCCTTTAATTTTATGCTTGGTTTCTTCCCTTGCTAACCAAACTTAGAAATAAGCTGGTCTAGTTCTTTAAATGCTGATTGTTCGAAATCACTGGAATGTTTTGAAATAAGATCAACTTTGGTAGGATATTCATTTTAGCTGTTGCAATCCTGCCCATCATTGTTAATTGTAGATTCCCCCATCTAGTCAAGTCTTTATTTCTTCCATCGATTTCAGGTAACTATCTTTCATTAAGGTACTTGGGTTTTTCTGTAAAGTTTATTCCAAGATATTTTACTTTTTTTCCCTGCTGGAAATGTGTAAGATTCAAGAGGTCATCTTTTTCTTTACATTGCATGTTTTTAGATAGAATTTTTGTCTTTCTATGGTTTTTTTCAGGTCTGCCATTTCTCCAAACTCTCTTAATTCATTCATAAGTGCTTTAGTTGATTCTTGTGGATCTTCCACCACTACAAGTAAGTCATCTGCGAAGGCCTGTACTTTAAATAACTTGCCTCTAATTTTGAGCCCTTTGTTTAGGGCTCTTGTCCTACAAACAAGAATGTCTGAAAGTTGATGAACACTGTCTTATGTTATACATACTGTCTAATACAACTATCAAAAACAGCAATGGTGATAATGGGCAGCCTTGTCTTTCACCTTTTTGTATGTCAATTTCTTCTGATAGTTCTCCATTAATTCTTATTTTTTGCTTTTTGATGGGAATAGATCGCTTTTAGATTGTTGATAAAGGATTGGCCTGCCTCCATTTCTTCTAATCTGCTTCAACCCTACCTAAGTTCCCTAAGAATCCCTCCCTTTGTAGCCCTACTGACTAACTATCAGCCCCAACTGGTGAGCAAATCCTCTGGTCTCTTCTTTTGACTCTTTATCAATGACTGTAGAGCTTTGAAGGTTACTAATCAACTGCAGATCTTGGGAATGATTTGTTCCACTAACAAAGATATAACTCAGTTACACTATGATGTTAACAACAGATAACATGTCTTTACAAGTCACTTCCCCAGCAATCCCTTTTCCTTCGAAGAAGGAGGGAGACAGCAACGGCAAAGGCTGTACCCTCCAACTGTCTTGGTGCTCAGAGTTCCCCATGGCTTTGGGGTGATGACCTGCAGTCTCCTAAGAACACCTACAGCAGATCATTGCAATCTTTAAAATGGCAGGCAGGATCACTCCTTACAGAGCAGGACAAAGGAGGGGGGGGGGAGGCCTGTATAGGTCTGAATGAAAGTGTTATTAGGATATAGAATGGCTACAAAACGGAACATTATAATTTTTCAATGACACCCTTGCTTCACTTCTTCCACATTTCCCTCTCAATTTACTCTAGAGTAGCCCCTACAGAGTATATGTATAAGAAATTGTATGTTTTTTTTTTTTGGGTAAGGAAAGTCTATCAACTCTGAAATGCCAAAGCCATTTCTTACTCTTTTGCACCACTTCAGTTGTTTCTTCCTACAAACAAGAATGTCTGAGAGCTGATGAACATTTTCTTATGTTATACATACTTTCTAATACAATAGTGAAAGGCTAGTATTTTTTTTAAAAAAATCTACTTCTAGTCTAACTGTCATTAAAAACAAACAAGAGCCTATAAATTTATCATCAAGTGAATAAAATAAAATTCCGACTTTATTCCCAATATCAAAACAATGGTGGCAATCTGTTGCTTACTATTTAATGTATCAAAAATGCAGTGTGTGGCCACTTGTTGAAAAATCAATAGCCTTTTATTGCAGCCATCACATTAGTGCATGTCTTAAAGGTACATTCATATGAGAAATACACTCACAATTTTTAACCAGTTGGAAACACGTGAAATTTAAGTTTTCATTGCACTTATAGCTACCTCTTGCACTTATGCTACCTTACAAACAAGGTAAGTGACTCTAATCTTTCCTGTGCGGACACAATTAAATGTCAAGGTTAAGTTTTAAACTGCAGGCACACTACCTGCTAGACACAAAGAGGAGAATGCTAAATCTAATTTCCTCAATATAAGGGCTAAGCTTCTTGAACAATTAATGTGACAAATCCTAAGGATTTTCTTTATTTAGCTGTACCACCGTCTGCCTAAGTATCCCTCAGATAGCTTAGATCAACAGAACTAAGCCCAAAGAGCTCTGGTAAAACAAATACTCTGTAAGAATGGTAATCCAATTGAGTAGCTTAACTTTTCTTGGACGGTTCTACTAAAATGGCTGTTTGGTTTTTTCTTATACGACTTTATAGCTACAAACCGGGGTATCAAAACAAAGACCACACCAAAGGTTACTTGTCTCCTTACTAGAAGCCAGCAGTCCCTAGGCTTCTCAAGGGTCGCATTAATTTTCAGAGATTAAAGCGGCATTTAAATCACAATATTTAAAACAATGTTTACTGTGACTCCCCAGATTTCCTCCCTATCCTTTGGTCTTGGTGATGCTAGTTTGGGATTCTGGCAATTGTCACCCAAAACATGAACATTCCCTAGCACTAATTTGAAGTTGGAGGCTTACGAGTTGTTTTGGACATGAATAATCAATCGTCTACCTAATTCTCTTCAATGTAGGGAAATGATCCAGGCACATGTATATTCCCTGATAGTATAGCACAGAAGAGGTGGCTGTGCACAATCAGATACAATGCCTGGTGGATGCTGCAGCTCAGGGTTTTCATGGGTCTGGAGTTTCATAAGAAACAGGCCCCATGTCATCTGAGGTCACCTTCAGCTGGGATGCATATATAGAAACTGGAAACAAATCTAAATGATCAATCAATAAAAGGCAAGAATTTTAGGCAAGGGATACGTAAAATGATGACTCTGAAAACTTAAAAGGTCATTGCAAACACAATAGCTGTGATCCAAGAAATCTGTGTTTCAAAGACATGATTCCGGCAGGCCTTTGTGACTGAGTAGTCACCTGAACGTTTATGTCCAGAACACCAATCACTAAACAAAGCACAGTATTTTATAAGCTTCAGGAGGTGAGAAAAGGTCCTGCCCTGACAATCAGACATATCGAGCAATTAAGGAATTCCCTCTTCTATTGACTAATTACTTTCATGGTCAGTTTGGTCCTGATTCACCATGGTATGCTGCTGTTCACGAAATACAACTCCAAAGCTTCCCACCCCACTCCACCACCACTCCCCATAAAGGAAGCAGATGCATAATACTTTGAATCCTGGCCATTAAACACAACCCAGTTTGGTAATATGTCTGATTCTTTCAAAAACAGTAACTGGAACATTGGAAAGAAGATAATTTAAAGTTTTAGAAAGTCTTCTGCAACCAGCTTAACATTAGATACCATGATATCTTGTATGGTAAAATCATCTTCAAAAATACTGCAAAGAAGTAAATTATTCATTTTAACCTTGGACAGCAAATGCTGTGAGGCTCCTCCGGTCCTGCAGGCTAGACTGGACATTTTTTAATTAGCAGCTGAAGACACAAAGTTCCTAAACTGGAACACTAAGTGCAACCTGATTAAAAGAAGATTATTGAATACATGCCAACTTTGTATAAGTTCATTAGTCAGTCACAGTACCAGACACTGACAGCAAATTAAGTTTCTGATCTTACCAGTCTTTAAAATATATCTCTCAGGAATTCAAAATTTACGTTCAAAAGCCGCACGTATCATACATGTAAATATAATATTATACAACCTCAAAAAGATATGCATGAAGACAAATCTAAACCTGGAAATGCATGGCTTCCAATACAGGTTTTCAAAAGAGAAAGAGAGAAGAAAGAGAGAAATTTGTTCAAATTATCTAAATCGATAATCTTGTGGAAAGCCGTTACCGAAAACTAATACTTCTTCATGCAACTTGTAAAACGTTAAGAGCGGAATTATTATACAAAAAGAAATCAGAGAACTGCGAATTGTTAGTGATTTGTCGCAGTGAATGAATCTTGATTAGAAATCATTTATTCATTTTCTCAAATCAATTCAAATGCAAGAGAAGTGCTTTTTATTTTGCCTCATGATTATTTCATGTAGCGATAAAATTGCTGCATTTCTGGCAATGTGCTACACCCACCTAGACAAAAGTTCTGTCATTTCTCTGGCCATTTGCTCCCTATGAAAGAAATAAGTGCATGAGGAGGAGGGAAATATAACACTTAAAAGGTATTCAAACACAGTCACATGAACAACGATATAAAATCTAATGCTGGCTCACTAGACAAATACTCTTTCCTAAAATGTATACCATATTAAGGCTACAATTTTCTTGGTGAAAAATAATAATTAATGCCTGTTCAGTGGATAGCAGAATACACATTTGGAATTAAATATCCACCTTCAGTATCATTCATTCATTATGTGATGTTTAGATCACAACCAACCATCCTCGCGCATCAGCAGGCCAAAAGATTGACGATCAAATATGATGTGTTCACTGCATGCTCAAATTATGAGTATTCAAAGGTATGGGGAGGGGGATGAAAATTCTTTGACAAGGTGGTTTATAATATGAAAATTACTCTAATTTTTATAAACCCACAGATTTTCATAGCATGCACGCAAGGAAAGAAAAAGGATGCCATACGCAGTCATTTGACAGCTCGCTCCATTAGGTCTGCAAACAGAAGATATTTGGGTTAGCCTACCATTTTTCTCAGTAGTTTTGTACCCACCTGCAATGTTACAAAATCAACATGTCAACAAATATAGCAAGTATCATCCAGGAAAGCAGGAATTCAGTCCCTATAAGTGGTTTAAATGCTCTATCCTATTACTTTTCTATTCTATCATTCCTTTGGGGGCAGAGCATTATACCTAGTTCTCCTTCTCCTTTTTGACCTCACTCACAGGGAGATAGGAAGAGTGGTCTAAAGTGACCTGTGAGTTTTGTTGACTTCCTCAGCCCTTCCCTCAATGCTGAAGCTACAACATCTGACACTCAGTGGAAGAATACTAGACCAAGGAACCATCAGACAAGAAAATAACCCAGACTGGGACTCATCTCTAAATGGCCATCAGTGATCTCCTACAAGCGGTGACCTTGGCAGTAGGTCGTTTCCACTTTTTGCTGCTCCTTCTATGAATCTGGTCCAAGAAAGAAAACTATTCTGACAAACTCTGAAATCTTTTACCAATTTAGGCTAAGAAGACCTATAAGGGAGAAGAACTAAGCAAACTTTGTGTTTCCACACCTTTAAGTGCAAATGAACTGGCATTTTCCTATTCTCAAAGACCTAACACTCTTTTTATAAAGGATATTTATTTATTTATTTATTTATTTATTTATTTATTTATTTATTTATTTATTTATTTATTTATTTATTTATTTTAATTTAAATTTAACTTATATGCCGCCCACTCTACCCAATGAGGGGGATTGCTAAAAACAAACTGAACTGAAAATGCCCTTCTGTTTGTGAATTTTTTCCACATTTAGCTCGTTTGAAATGTGGAGAGAACAGAAATTCTCCATAACCATTCTGCTTGGGCAGAACACAAAGGGAAGGTGCAGCATCCAAAATTCTACTGATTTTGATGTCATTGTCTTATAGCTGATTTCTCACTAGACTGTGCTGCCCTCCCCCAACTTCGCTTCACCTGACCAGTTTAGATCTTCTTCTACAATTAAAATGGAATGACTGCCTTTAACACAGCAGTAGGGTCTTGAAAGATGCCCTGATATTTTATTTGTTTTAAAAATAACAAAACCAAACTTGGTATTAATTTAAAATGAGCTCTAGAAATCATAGTACACAAAGGCAGAACTTCGCATTTTTAATGCCTAAACTGTGACAGCAAGAGACAAGAGCACCCAAATATGAGACAGACCAACTCAATAAAAAAAAACACAACCATGAATTTGCTAAGCCCAAGCAGGGCTGTTAATGGAGGACCTTTTGGAGATCACTAATTAGTACAAATGCCGGAGCAGGTGATACCTTTAATCTGTACCTAATTTGTACAGTTGGCATGAGTCGGAAGTGATTTGATGGCAGGCAACTACAACAACACTAGAGGTTAAATATTTGTAAACCAGCTGATCTGGCATCATCATGATGCAGATACCACACAAACAAACTGAAACTTCAACAGGAACAGATCCACAGTGGAACGTCATTCAAAACATTCATTTGGAGCCCCTGGAATCATGTTATCATCCAGCCTCTGTCACAAATAAAACTAAGACTGTTTACTGTTTGTCTAATGCAGAAAAGAAGACTGGAATTATGAAAAAAAAAACTGCTACCCATTTTAAACACCATAGCCTGATACGCTAAGCCCTTCGACACAAATGGGAGTGTATTTCTGACAAATACCAATAGCCCTCCAATCCAACTTTAACTAAAAACAAGTTGTTGCTACAGGACATAGTTTTGCCAGGAGCCTGAAGTAGGCAGTGCCCTTCATTTGGGGGGCAGGAGAGAACCCCCATTATTTCATAAGTCATTCTCATCTGCTCCTCTGTTCACATGCATAAGAGCTACATGATCCACCATTTGCCTGCCTGTGTCTTTGCAAAATTAGGCATTTATGCAATTGTACAAGCAGCTTATGCACTGTTTTTACTTCCACTGGGGATGAGAAAGTGAAAAGTTGTCGTAATGTGAGGTAATGTGAGGAAACCCCTCAGGTACATCTCAGCATGTCTATGCCACTGGACAGCAGTCCAGTTAAAGTGAGAAGGTCTCCTCCTTGCCTTGCGTGACAGCTAGAGAGACAGTTCTGAGAAAGGCACAGAACACAATTTGGCTAACACTGTGGGGATACAGTCCAGGGATTGGGAGATGCACATTTCATCAAAGACCTTTCTACCTATCCTTCTCCAAAATTCAACCACTCTTCTCGGAACCAATGCATGGGCAACATTCCAATTTCCAAAGGGACTGAGGGGCGTATGATGCGGAGACCGGACAGGAAGTACCGTATAGCGAGCATCTCACACAGGATAGTATCTCTGAATTAGAGGTACTCAAGCACCATGTGGGAGGTGGTGGTATTTCTTAGGTCTTTTTAAAGGCAAGTCATTTTTAACAGAAATACCCTTCTCTAAGAAAGGAATCCACAAAGTGCTATACCTGCGCAGCCCTAGGTCCAGCTGAGATTCGTCATTGATGAGTTCTGATTCACTCTGGGCAATTCTCATGGCCAGCTCGTGATCTCTGCGCTCCTGCTCCAGAACAGCTTGTTGCTGGCTGGCTTCTTCGCGCTCTCTTGCCAGCTGAGCTTCCACTTCAGCCTGCACATGAACAGAAAAAGATTCCTCAAATGATTTAATTTACAAGCCCACTCTACCCATCCATACCCATGGAGACAAACAATCACTGGTGCAAATTTATAAGGTGCAACCTAAACTAGGAGTGAGGGGGGAAATTGGCCTAGGGGGAGAATTTCAATTTGAGAAAGTTCAATTTGAGATGTATTCCACCGCTGGAAGGAACTGAAGCATACAAAGCAAGGCTAGGTGTGATTCTTACATTTTGGGCAATTTCTCACAGAGCATAAAAGCACAGCCCTATTCTATGCCCGTATACTCAGTACGTAGCCTTAGAGCAATGGTTTTCCTGCATGCTCAGTCCTAAGCAACGCCACTGCCCCCCTACATATTAACCCCAATTATATGCAATGGCATTTCTGCCCACAAAGCTCAACCCTCTCCTACACTGAAAGTTCACACATTGGTAACCACTAACCACCAACAACCAGCCTTGATTTAGACCAGGGGACTCCAAACTTTTGACCGTGACGCCCACACCAGATATTTTAAACACCTTTGAGGACTGAAAGAAGAGGAATGTGTCCACGCATGTGCGCTCAGATGCATGCCTTGACACACTACCCACCTGCTTGCCCGAACCCCTCCCCCATGCACTCACACCCCTGCCCGCCCACGCACCCGCACGCATGGGCTGAAGGAAACAGGCCAGATAAAACGGCAAGGTGGGCCAGATGAGGCCCACAGGCCGTAGTTTGGGGACCCCTGATCTAGACCTTTGTGCCCAAATCATTAGTATAAAGAACCTCAGAAAGAAGGCTGCAAACCAATGTGGATCAAGGCAAGCAATATATATGATGAAAAAAGCAGTATCAATTTGGAGAATGGAGGCCTTCTTATTAAGAGAATTTAGAGACAATTCCTTGGGTTTCTTCCATGGGTTTCTAAGTGTCTAACTGGCTTCAACTCTCCTTTTCCCTACAGGTTGTAGGGGGAAAATAATGTGGCATAATTATATGTGATTTATGTGCTTCATATATAAAAGATGTTTTATTTATTTACCGTATTTTTTGCTCCATAAGACGTACTTCCCCTCCCCCAAAAAAGTGGGAGGGAAATCTGAGCGTCTTATGGAGCGAAGCTGGCGATTTCACTGCATCTTATGGAGCAAAGCTGGCGATTTTGATCCCACTGGCCCTGTGGGGGGAGCCTTGCAAGTTTCCGAGTGAGCCTTCCAGGACCCTTGAGAGGCTCCCCCCACTCCGCACGGGGCCAGCGGGGGTGAAATCGCCACCGTCTGGGACTCTTCCGAAGCTTCCCAAGCCTCAAAAGACTCCCAGGAGGTGCGATTTCACTCCCTCTGACCCCCAGGGGGCCAGGGTAAGTCTCTAAAGGGTCCTAGGGTGTGTTTCAGGACCCTTTAGAGACTCACCCTGCCCCCCCGGGGGTCAGAGGGGGTGAAATCGCCACCTTCTGGGACT